GAAAGAGTTGCAGGAAAGTCAAAGAGTGATGTGGATCTACAGGCTCAATCAAAAAAAGATAAAAAAGACAAAGGAAAGTGGTTTAACAATAAAGATAGAGATGGATACAACAATTCGACTGGTAGAGGAAACCATCACGAAGAAAATATGTCGAATCAGAGAAGACATACCAAGGTAACCAAAGAGGTGGTGTTGCAAATAAAGGAAGAGGTGGTGGTCGAAAACCTAACAAGAGTCGCATTCAATGCTATAATTGTCAAAAGTATGGTCATTATTCTAGTGATTGTCCAAAAAGTAAAAGAATCAAGAAAGTGATGCGAAGTTCTCAAAGTATGAAAAAGAGATGTTGTTGATTGTTACAACAAGGGATGAAGAAAAATTCAAGGACCAATGGTACTTGGATTCTGGATGCTAATCACATATGTTTGGAAGGAAAGATTGGTTTATCAACATAAAACCCTCGATGAAGAACCTGGTAAAATTTTCAAATGATAATACCCTAGCAACTTGAGGTATTTGTGATGTTATGATTATGAGAAAAGATGTCAAGAGGCCAGTAATTTTAAATGTGTTATACATACCAGGCATGAAGAGCAACTTTCTCAGCATAGGGAAGTTGGTCAAAAAGAATTATAAAGTGTCGATCAAAGACAAGATGAGGAGAGTCGTCAACGCAAATGAAAGGTTAATCTTGAAGGCTCTCATGTATCAAAATAGAACCTTCAAGAATAAATTTAATGTGATGGAGCACAAGTGCCTTTCCACTGCAGCTAGTAGAGATGAATGAATATGACACTATCGACTAGACCATCTCAACTTCAGAGACATAAGAGATTTGAAAAGAAGAAATATGGTTTCAGGACTTCCAGAAATCGAAATTCCAAAGGAAGTGTGTGAGGAATGTTTGCAGGCGAAGCAACACAAGAATAACTTCAGCAAGGATGTATGAAGCAGGTCAAAGGCTAGTCTCAAAGTCATATACTCTGATGTATGTGGACCAATTCAGGTGGATTTGATGAGAGGTAACAAATACTTTGTTACATTCATAGATGATTTCAGTTGAAAATTATGGACTTACCTGATCAAGAAGAAAAGTGAAGTGATAAAGATATTTGTCACGTTTAAATCTATGGTTGAAAGACAAAGTGGTCGAAAGCTCAAACTTTTGAGAACTGATGGTGGTGGAGAGTGCGTGTCGAAGGACTTCGACAAATTATGTGAAAAAGAAGGGGTTGTGCATGAGGTGGTGCCACCCTACACTCCACAACAGAATGGAATTGCAGAAAGAAAGAATCGAGCTATCGTGAATATCGTGAGATGTATGTTGAAAGACAAGCATTTACCTAAAGAGTTTTGGGGCGAAGCTGTGTCGACAACAACATACATTTTGAATAGATGTCCGATGAAGAAGCTAGAAGGAATTAATCCAGAAGAATGTTGGTCTGGTGTGAAGTCTAGCTTGAGTAATTTGAAGGTATTTGGATCTATAACACATAGACATGTGCCAGATCAATTGAAAAGAAAACTTGATGATAAGTCGAGTCAAATGATCCTAGTAGGATATCATTCTACAGAAGGTTACAAGTTGTTCAAAACAGTGAACAAGCAAATTATGATCAGTAGGGACATGATCATAAATGAGCTTAAAGAATGAGATTTGACTGAAAATATCAAGAAAGATTCAGTGAGAATCTTACTTGAAGAACCAGAAACTCAATTAAAAAAAGAAGTTCAACAAGAGGAAGTTATAGATCAAACAGGACTAAGAAAACCTCAAAGAACAAGACACATGCCTGCAAGGTTGCATGATTGTGTGATTACATCACATGATATAGTTGACGATGAAGGTGAGCTGGTACATTATGCTTTCTATGTATATATTAAACCTGTCAATGCAATTGAAGCATTGAAAGATTAGAAGTGGGTGAAAGCAATGAATGAAGAAGTGAAGTCAATCGAAGACAACAATACTTGGTCACTTGTCTAATTACCTCAAGGCAAGAATTAAATTGATGTCAAGTGGGTATATAAAGTGAAGATGAATCCCAAATGGGAAGTAACTCGACACAAAGCAAGACTCGTAGCGAAATGATTTCTACAGAAAGAAGGAATAGACTTCAATGAAGTTTTTGCACATGTGGCTAGGATCAAAATAATCAGGTTGATTGTTGGTCTAGCAGAAATAAACAGTTGGCACATATGTCAGATGGACATGAAGTGTACATTTCTAAATGGACCCTTAGACGAAGAAGTTTATGTTAAACGACCAATTGAGTTTGTGAAATATGGCGACGAGAGAAAGGTGTATATGCTGTATAAAGCCCTGTATGTATTGAAGCAAGCTTCAAGAACTTGGAATAAGAAGATAAATAACTTTCTAAGGGAGAATGGATTTGTGAAGTGCACAACTGAACATGGAGTATATGTAAGAAGAAGCAATAGTGAATTTCTTATACCATGTCTCAATGTCGATGATTTGTTGAGAACATGTAGCTGCAAAAGTGAGATCGAAGACTTCAAAGGTGATCTCAGCAAGGAATTCGAAATGTCGGATCTGGGTGACATTTCACACTTCCTTGGCATCGAATTCTACAAGAGTAGTAGAGGTTTGATGATGCATCAAAGAAGATATGCAGGAGAAACTCTCAAGAGATTAGAGATGAAAGAATGCAACTCGACTTCGGCACCTGCAGAACCAAGACTACAACTGTCGAAAGATTCAGAAGAAGAAGATGTCGATCCAACTCAATACAAAAGACTTCTTGGGTAATTAAGATACCTTTGTCACACGAGGCCCAACTTAGCATAATGTAGGTATGATGAGTAGATTCATGCAGAAGCCAAAAGTATCACACCTAGCAGCGACGAAGAGGATATTGAGGTATCTGAAAGGAACTCTTGACTATGATATTTTATTTCCTGCAGTTGATAAAAGAAAAGAATGCAAGTTATTTGGATACATTGATTCAAGTTGGTGTAGTGATTCTAAGGATCGAAAATCCATACATGATATATGTTCATGCTAGGTGGTGCATCAGTTGTTTGGAGATTAAGAAAAGAACTAGTAGTGGCATTATCATCGTGCGAAGTAGAGTACATAACTGCTTTTCTCTGTGCATGTTAAGCAACATGGATGGTGAACTTTGTCGAAGAAATCACAGGGAAAGATCATTGAGCAATTACCATGAAGATCGACAACATGCCAGCTATCAACTTGGCGAAGAACTCGATAGCACACGATTGAAGCAAGCACATCTAAATGAGATTCCATTATCTTCGAGAGCAGGTAGCCGATGGGAAGATGATCTTAGAACACTGCAAAACTAAGAATCCGATTGCATACATTATGACAAAGGGAGTGCAAGTCGAAGTATTTTGAAGACTAAGAGCTATGATGAATGTAGATAGCTTAAACACAATGAATTGGGTGGTGTGTTGAAAGTATAATTTCTTGTATCGAAGCAACTTGCTCGACATAAATAAGGGAGTGTCGAAAAGATTGTATCGAAGTGTGGAAACAGTTTGTTATACACATATTTGATTTAGATCTAAAATAGATAAATTTTATTTAGGTCTAAATTAGATAGATTTGATATAGTCCCAAAATAGGTATTTTGGGCTTTGGCTTAGAGAGCAAACTGACATAAATCTATAAATATAGGGAGTAATCCCCAGTCTTTGTAATCAATCAAGTTGTATTCACAGAATTTACAGTTGCAAGTGAATAAGAAGTTTTCCACTGTTTGTGGGCAGAGAGAAACTCTGCAGAAAATCATTGTCTTTCTTTCTTTCATATTTTTCATCGTTATTGTGTGGTGATAACAATCTTACTCATCAAGTTTGATAGAAATTCATCATAGAAATTGGTGGATTTCCAACAAATGTGTCATGCAGTGTGACGCCTCTTTGTTAATTAGAGTGCATGCGTCATACAATGATGCGCCTCCTCTGTGTGACGATTTTTTTTTGAAAAGTGATTACTTTAGTATTTATTTTTAAAATGTGGTTATTTGGGGATTTTTTTTTTTGAAAAAAATGATTATTTAAGAAAAAATTCTCATAATTTCCTTCCATTCTATTTGTTTTTCTTATGTTAAATATATTTTTAATCTTTTTTATGATATTAATTGTTATGCGTTGTCAGTATAAAAAGTTTTACACATTCAATCTATTGCAACCATCTATAATAATTAATTTATATATAATTAAAATAAAAATTAAACATAATTTAAGATCTGACAGTTACAATTCATTGACAATATAGATATACTTTACACTGTTAGTGTATTTCAATTAAATTCTTTATATAATTTCGAGATGTCTTACAATTAAAAATATGTTATAATATTTATAAAAGATAATATAGTATTTTAAATATATTTTATTTAAAATAATATAATTTTATATTATATTTATTATAAATATTATGCAATTTTATTTTAATCATATATAAAAAATAATTTAAAATAATTTATTTTGAGTCGAATAGCCTAAAACATTTATAAAATCGGACTCAATAATAGTTTTTGAACTTATATTATAAGGCAATTTTATTGACCCGATTCTGAAAGTGGCCCGTTTAAGGCGCCCTTTTCAACAGCTAGATAGTAGATTGCAATTGGTGTAAATAAAAGTATATCCCGTTAAATTAAACTCATACAAATTAAATAACTTTATAAGATATTATTTGTACAAAAAAATTCCCCTTAATGTTACAAAAATGGTTAAAAAAGAAAATTCCAAAAAAAAAAAAACGTTGTAGTAATTAAAAAAAAGGTGAATAATTAAAAAATATAGGAGAGAAAAAAAAGAAGAAGAGTAGGACTGGTAGCATATTCTGAAGTCTTCTCTGCTCGTATCTTTTATCCAACAGCCACACACACACTTTCACAGTAGTGCGCGAAACACCGCCTCAAAACGGTTGTTGCAACCATAACGCATCCTGTGGTTAGAGAAGAGAAAAAAAAATCCAGATCGAGCAATTTCAGATCTAAGCGAAGATGAATATTTTCAGGTTAGCTGGGGATATGACCCATCTGGCTAGCGTCCTCGTGCTTCTTCTCAAGATCCATACCATCAAATCGTGTGCTGGTATTTTATCTTTCTGTTGTTGACATTATTGTTGATGGTTTGTTATGTTTATATGTGGATTTTGAAGGGGAGAATGTTGGGATCTGAGAAGAAATGGGAGTGGAGTAGGGTTTTGAGGAGTGAGTTTTTAGGCATTGCTTTGAAATTAGCACTTGTTAGGGTTTTTGTTGTTAGGATAAGGGTTTGTTATTACTGTAGATTTCTGTTTTGTGGTTTGTTAAGTGCCCGCCGAAGCATTTTTCAGTATTTGTTATAGATTTTGAAGCACAGACACCGGATACACGGCACTGACACCGGTAATAATTTGATAAAATGAATAAATAAAATATAATCACAAGTGTCTGTTTGGACAGTGACACATTTTTTTTCGAGAGGTGTATGTGGTAAAGAGGACTTATAGTGGAGGAAATTGTGGTGTGCCTTTTGTTGGATTTGGATTATGTCTGTCTATTCGATAGGAAGACCTGCACTTGCACCAACACTCCTGCAATTAGGCGTGACTCGGGGTTTGACATGCGTCATGGTGTCAAGTTTGATACACTTATGACATGTGTTCGATAATTGAGACACGTATGCTAGTGCTTATTGATCAACAGATTTCCGTAGGCAGGAACTGTAGGTTAATCTCGAAGGGCAATGTTAATAGTTTGAGTATTACTCGAAATAGAATGCATTAACTACGAGTGGTCTTTATTTTTGCGAGTTTCTTTTTGAGAAAGATATGATAAGTTCGAAAGTTGTATGTATGTAAAATTTGGGTAATGAGACTGATATGTAAGGACATGTAGTTAGAGACAGTGTTGTCAATGGCAGATGGAAGTCCACGGCAGAGAGCCAAAATCCCGCCATACTGACCGCTTTGTGCCGCTGTTATAGTGGATTATCGCGGAAAAACCTGCAATGTCAGCCAATATTTACCATTGCGGCAAGCCCAAAAACTGCCATGTATATCCACCATGGCTATTTCTTAACACTGGTTACAGATGTAGATGAATGAGGATAGCTGCAAGTCTTTTGGTAGTAATGTAGTTATATGTTGGGGTGCTGCTTAGGCAATTGAAGATCAGTACTTTTCTTTGCTTCTTGAACTCAAGTACTGTTCATGGTTCCATTGTGATGAAGTACTGTGACTGCTTCAAATATAATGATAAAAGACCCCTTTTATTGGTTATTACTAAGAGTATATGCTAATACTTTTCTCTCAACTTTGTCGTTTATTTTCTGTTTATGGATGAACAATGACTGTTTATTCATCACCAGATGAAGGAAAAAGAGAGTCACAGTGATTAAGAATATAAGCTATTCATTAGAGGAGTAGATATCTACTTCTCAGTATTTTTTTTCTTTCAGTTTTTGGGCATTATTTGACTGCTCTAGTTTTATTTTTTGTTAAAAAGAGAATTGTGTGTGTTTTTCTTTGACTTTGGGTGCGCATCTTATTTACATGCAGGTGTCTCATTGAAAACTCAAGAACTCTATGCACTTGTTTTCGCCGCTCGCTACTTAGATATCTTTACGAATTACATATCTCTATATAATACTGTTATGAAGTTGATATTCTTGGGAAGCTCATTCTCTATTGTGTGGTACATGAGGTACCACAAAATTGTTCGTAGATCATACGACAAAGATCAGGATACCTTCCGTCACTATTTTCTTGTATTGCCTTGCTTAGTGTTGGCCCTACTTATCAACGAGAAATTTACATTTAAGGAGGTTAGTATAAATTCGTTGTTATTTAAATTCTGTAGCTGTTGTGCTAACATACATGTTTGACTGTTTTTAAGAGCCACCTTTGCATTACTTTAACTTTCGTCTGCTTTTCCAAAACCGTTATGCATGAAATAGGTGGTGTGGACATTTTCTTTGTATTTGGAAGCTGTTGCTATACTTCCTCAACTAGTGCTTCTACAGAGAACTAGAAACATTGACAATTTGACGGGACAATATGTCTTTCTTCTTGGGTAAGCTATGGTTCTTTATCCGAGTTTTAACATTATATACTGCTATGATTTATATGGTTCTTGTTATTGCATTAGTTTTAAAATTAGAAGCTGTTGTCTTCTGGAGGTATTTCAACTACTGATCAATAGGCAAATAACTGGAAGATTCGTCAATTTTTATATCTGTTCCCACATAGAATGAGCTTAGGAGCGGTTTCATTTAGGATGAAGGTGCAAATCATAGTTGCAATTTGATACAGTACTGAGTCACTGAAGTACTACTCTTCAAATCTAGGTTGTCAATAGCACGCCATAGTGCCGCTATAGCATGGTCCCTCACCGCCACGCTATTGTCCTCCGCTATCGACGGTAGCGGCCATAGTGGTGCTATGGCGGTGCAATAGCAATGCCATCATGATTTGAAGGCCTCTATTCTCAATTTGGGACAAAATCGTAAGCCTAATATTTTGAAATGTAATTTTTAACTTTTTAAGAATATGCTGTTCTTTCCCACCGTTTTATTAACCTAATATTTAATCCCATGTGCTATGCTTCTTTAGTTCCACTTTTTTTTAAAATTTTTCTACATCATTCTCCCCTGCACCTTTTTCCACTGTGTCTTCTGCATTCTTTGCTGTTTTCATCTATTTCTTCACCATTCACTGTTGTTCTCTGCTTCTTCGCTGTTTTCCTCTGCTCCGCCGTTCTCTTCTGATTCTGTGTTCTGCTTCGTTACTTCTCCTTGCTCTGTTTCACACATACAACTTTTGTTATTTTTGCCACGCCTTGTTTCTCTTTTGATAACCATGGCATCATCATCCTCTGCCACTGCAAGTCTAACACCAACTTCCAGCAACTAAGTTATTTTAAATCTATTAGTGACAACCTTTATATTGGTCGACAGTGGAACTCTTATAAAGACCAGAGCAAGAAAACATTGTTTGTGATTTTTGTAAGCACCCTTAAACAGAAGGAATGACACAAGCTATGAAGCATCAGTTGGGAATAAGGGGAGAAGTAAAATCTTGTAGTAAAATACTTGCCGATATTAAACAAATACTACAAGAGAGTTATGATAAAAGCAAGACGCTGCTGATGGGTATATGTCTGGGTTTAATATCAATGAGAAGGATGATGATGCTGTGCAAGATTACTTTTATAATTTGATTTTGATGGGAACTCATTTTGATGGGAAATGTATGCTGTTGGGATTGGAAGTTATGTTTACCGTTGGAAATTTGTACTATGCATGCCAGTGCAATTTCTATTTTAAAGTTGTGTGCTGTTGGAATTTATGTTCACTATATACATTGTTTTTTAGTCTTCACAATAGCGGCCATCCTGCTATGCCACTTTAGCATTTTGGGGGTTTGGTGCAACGCACAGCTATCCGAGATTCCAACCTAATTTCATATAATGATTCACATGAAGAAAGTCATAGCATTTCATGTTATGTGGTACAGATTCCAAAATAGTGATTCAAACTCGCCTAAATAAAGCATAGGCGTAGCCGTAGGTAATGAAGACAAGACAACAAAAGGAATAGAGAAATTATTAGTTTGCAGTAGAGTATATGAACCAGCTTGTCCAGTGGCTTCATAGAAAATGATCAATGAAATTGGCCTTTTCTTATATGATCATAAGTTGAAAGTTTTTATATGTGGGAAAGCAAAGTCTGCTTAATAACGTTTTCAAGTTTATGCAATTACTGCTGAACTGACGTACTATCATAAAAAAAAAAGCAATGGTAACTTTGTATATCAGAGGAACCCATTTGCCTATGTTTTAGCTCTCAAACTTTAATACCTAAGAATTCTGATGCAAAATTTAGGATGCGTTTGGCTTGTGGATTTTTTTCGTTAAGTTAATATTTTTACCATTGCTAATACTTTACTGACATGTCATTTATTCAGTTTGTTTTCTGTTTTCAACTATTTGTTTCATTTTGCACTTGTTTTTATTATTTTCTATGTAAATCATTAAGAACAGTAAACAAAATATAAACAAGGCGATGCTTTTGTAATTATTAGTGAAAATGAAAATAAAGAACCGAACATTTACATATCTCAACCAAAACAATTCCCTTAGTTTGCCTAGGTTATGTTGAACTGTTCAATGCCCAAGAGTGAGTAAAAAACAGATATCTGTTAATCAAGTATTTTCTTTGAAGTAATTATGTTTTACCAGATTGTAGTCTGCATTTTGCTTGAGTCTATATAAGAAGTTAATCATGAACTCTGTCCAAAGTGGCATTCGCCATTCGGTACTGTCAACTTTCTGAGGGCCTAATGAAGATTAATGGTTTAGTTCAGGTTTTACAGATCTTTTGGGAATTATTTCAGTAGATAACTTCATTTGTATGTAATTTCTTTGGGATTGGTACTTGATGTGATATATGAGCATGTGAATTAACTCTTATGAACTTGTTAAACTCATTTCCAATTATTTTTCAAGTCCACTTATTATAAAACCTGATATTGTAATATACTTTTCCTGTCTAATGCAGTGGGTATCGAGCACTATACATTCTCAACTGGATCTATCGCTACTTTACCGAGCCACACTTTGTCCACTGGATAAGTATGATTCTCTCTTTTGTTTTTTTGTTTAATAGTTATTATTTTATGCTTTTACGATTACCTTAAATAAAAAGACAATCTTTGCATTGGTAACTACATAGTTTATGGTTTGGAACGTGTGCCTCTTTATGGCATACTCTCAATTTCAGATTAAAGACATACTTGTACAAATACCATTGTTAAAATGTTGCTTACCGCTCAAACAACTGTGAAAGGCGCTTTCATGGTTGTGCTAACCCTTTAAAATATCTACCGATTCTATTTTATAGAAATCAAACATTCAAACATGATCGTTGCCAAGTGAATTTCATTCACTGTATTCTGATATTGTCTTTCTGAGTCATTTTGATATGCTATTTTGCAGCATGGGTTTCTGGGCTTGTTCAAACACTGCTCTATGCTGACTTCTTCTATTACTATTTCCAAAGGTAAAACTGGCCTACTTTTCAGGTCCATTTTGTTTATATCAATAATCGTTGTTCGTGTTTGTTAAGCATTTGAAAATATTGCCATGCAGTTGGAAGAACAATCGAAAGCTTCATTTGCCAGCATGAGTGTAATTCTCCATACATAAAACCAAGGTTCTCATGCCATGTCGATTATTAATAGTGAGCTGAGAAGATTAAAGTATATTCGTCTAGACAGTGGTTTCTGATTTATGATTCCATATTTGTTAGTTTTTGCCCCTTCAATCGAATATTACTGTACTAATGACTTGCAGATTATAGATGAAAAAGTTTCAATTGTTTGTGATGGTAATCATGCAATATTGATATGTTCTAGAATTTCTAGATGCAGGTACAATGTTTATTCTAGATTCAGTTTCTCAAATGATGCAAGGGTCTTCTTGATTGACCCCTATTTAAAACTGTGTTAAACTCTATGTTGACGAGAATGTATAAATTCTCAATTTAATTAGTTTTGTAGAATTGATTTTGGATAAAATTGACTTAAAAATGATGTGATACGGTTATAATAAAAGTGATTTGTATGGAAGATATTTAAGTGGTGTCAAAATGGCTTTTGGGTGAGTAAATTACCATAATGGATTTTAACATTCGTATATATAGATTTATTTTCTCTTTTACTTGTTTATTTTCTCATTTCTTTTTTTATACATTTTTTAAAATTTCATTAATAAATTTTAAATGACAAATACAATAGATCACATGTGTTGGTGCACAAGGTAATGATGGGTAAAAAGAATAAATATATTTATGAGAGCAAAGAGATTGACGAATGGAAAATTATGTGGGTCTTAATAGAAAAAAAATTTAATAGCTAAGTTATTAAAACAATTAGAAATATTAAATTACCATTCAATACCATCCCTTAATTTAGGATTTTCTAATCAAAACTAAAAATACTAATTTCATCCTTTAAACGGAGAAATTGATTCGTCTTGATTGCTTTTGTTAGAATATTTGTCAGCTGTTTCTGGGTGCTACAATGCATAATTTCTAGTACTTCGTTCTTGACTTGACTTTTGAGAAAATGATATTTTGTCTCAATATGTTTGTTTCTCTCATGTAATACTGAGTTCTTGGCAAGATTGATTACAAATTTGTTATCAATCACCAGCTTCAGAGGCTTATCTACCTTGATCTTCAGATCCTGCAATAGATTCAGAAGTCACACAGCTTGACATGCAGCTACAACACCTGCAATGTACTCAGTTTCACACGTTGATAAAGCAACAATGGATTGCTTCTTGGAACACCAAGAAATAGGACCTCCCAGAAACTTAAACAAGTATCCAGAAGTACTTCTATCAACTCTATCTCCACACCAATCCAAATCAAAGTAATCCATCAACTCTGAATCTGTCTTTCTTCCAGAAGGAAATAGTACTCTAAACTTCAAAGTTTCCTTGATATATCTCAGAATCCTGACAACAACTTGATAATGAGACCACTTAAATTTACTCATGAATCTACTAATCAATCCAACTGCATAACAAATATTAAGTCTATTATTACACAAATACCTTAGAGAACCAACCAATTGTTTGAAACTCGTAGCATCTACATATTCACCATCAGAATCAGAATCTAATTTGTGATTGATTTTTGATGGTGCGACAACGGTCTTACATATGTCACTAACTTACAATTTCAAGACGGTCTCTGTCAACATGTTTCTACTTCTATTTAACAACATATCTCATTCATCCCTGAACAAGAGACTTTAAGCCCACACACCTTAATTTCATTCCAATCTTCTACCTCTAACAATCCATATTCAAATACATACAACCATTCGAACCAAACTCAAAAATAATATAGCTAACAGATTCCATAACTATTAATATTAGGGGTGTTTGCGGTTCGGTTTGGATCGGTTTTAAGATAAAAAAGCAGCTGATCCAAAGATAAATTTACTTGCGGTTCAGTTTGGTTTTGGATGATATATTAAAAAAATTCAATTCAATCCGATTCAATTTTATGCGGTTTAATTTAGATCGATTTTTGGATATCCAAATTACACATTATATTTTATTAATATTATAAAACTACTAATAAATCATAGATTTGATATAATATATAACATATAGTATATTAAAAGTTAATATTACAAAATGAAAGTGGTTGATTATGATTGAAATAATAAAAATAAATAAGTTATACCAAGCTAATAACTATTATTAAAAAAATTATTGTCATCTAATAATAAATTCACGTAACATATCATACTAATAAAAAATAAATAAGTATAAAAATATATGTATGCGATTTGGTTTGGTTTGAATCGATTTTGAAAAATTGATCCGAAATCCGATCCGAACCGATCGGTTTTCACAAAATGACATCCAAACACATCCAATAAATTTTGTTTTTTTTGCGGTTTTCAGTTTTTTAGATTGGTTTTCAGTTTTTTTTATTTGGATTAGTTTAGATTTGAACACCCCTAATTAACATACACCACCAAATCACACCCATACCACTACACCCTAACCACGTAACTCAAACTTTCTCTAAAATCTAGTTTCAACACTTACTCTTTAGACTATCTACAATGACAAAATTATTCAACACCCATTTTTCCCATTTTTTACTCCATATCACCTTCTCTCTCTTCCACCTAATAATTCAACACCCATTCAACTTTTACTCACTACAATGGTTTTGTTTAATAAAATTTAACACCTTACCCTACCACTTTTATTTTATATTTTTATTTCCTTTTTTATGTTTTTGTTTTTTTTATTATATATTAATAATAATTATCAATTGAAATTAAATTAAAATTATTCTGGACTAGGCCTGCCCTTGGCCCAACTACCAGTGAGGCCTAATCCAAGCTTGCCAACCTGCTGCGTTGAGCAGTATTTCCACCGAGCATATTCCGACCACAATGTCTTGTCGACCATGAATGCTTCCCATCGATGCTCGTAGGAATCATCCACGACGAGCACGCGCTCCTCTTGGGCACCTTCCTCGTAGGGCTGACTTCTAACCTCTCAGGATTTCGCAGAGTCTTCATGGTCCCAGAAAGATCGTGTCTCTATCCTCCCTGTCTTGCGGAGGACGTCATCCAGGTAGGGGGCCACGTGCGGGTCCCCACTACACACGTAGAACCTGGCAGTCTCTTTGTTGGGCCTGTTTGATCAGCCTAATAAAGAGACCTTGGCCCAGCGCTAGGGGCTATAAATACCCTCTCTTTCGAGAGGGTCAGGTATTGATTCATACATCTAAAACTCATACTTGCTTGTTCATTCCGCTTCTCACTTTACCATCAGAGTATCTTGCAGGTACCCCCTATCTCATTCAACTCCAGCTCGAAGCCAGTTGCGACGGTCCATTTCTGATCCGGTAAGATCAGTGGCGCCGTCTGTGGGAAACTAAGCTTCCCCGTCTTCTAATCACTTGAGACCAAAGCTAAATAATCCTCGACTGTCATGGCTTACCAGACACCAGACAACCTGAACATCCGTGTCATCGACGTTAACAACAAAATCATCGACAATAATGCCGACCTCGACAACACCGGTATAGCCGGCCATTACACAGTCCCTGGCGTCAACATGCCCAGACCTTCTAACTATAGGGACGAAGCCATTGCTTCATCTTTATCATGCCTCCTCGACTTGAAGAAGATCGGCCACCTCCCCTGAACTATCCACACGTCCAATGTCACGAGGTCCCCGTCCCCGCCGGGGCAGACGCTGTAACACCCCTTCTAAATAACCCGCAAATATATTAATTAAATCAGAGTAACATGGAAAACAGGGATGTCATAATCCAAGATAAATATAAAAACCTCAAATCTACAGTTATCATGCTTTATTGAAGGAATTATTAAGATAAATATTCAAATCAATATCATGTTCTACACAGCGGAAATGTCTCAAAACCGGAATAACTTCACTTCATAAGTATTCCCAACATAAATTAAACAATAGAGTATAAAATAAAACTCATCATTCAAACGTTTTCCCTAGTGTTACAACCTATCAGAGCACGACACTGACACGCGGACTTAAAGTAACATAGCTCTAGAGCCATCCTCACCAACTCCTGAGTTGCTAACTTTAATCTGAAATTGTTAAAGTAAGGGTGAGATTTCTCATAATTAACATGCATTATAAGCTTCTCAATCAACATTATATCACAAGCATATTATTTCACCCATTTTAGCATAAATTCATATTCAACACGCAGTTCCAATCATACAAGTCATTATGCACAAATCAATAATCAACCAAAGAATTGTAACACTGGAAGACATCCTAACATGTTACAATTCCATGCAAACACAAATGCAGACACAATGCATGTGGTACCAACACGTGACCAAGTCACCCAACACTGATCCATCATCAACCGGATACAGCAACCATCGATTCGTCCATAAACATCCGGACACGAATCCAGCCTAACCACCCATCATCACCCAGGTATCGGTTAACGGCAATACAAGTCAAATTCCACACAATGGGAATTAACTTCACCAAAACAATGCATATGCACGCACATCACCAGCATGCAACATTAAATCAGTCTATGAAATACATCAATTTATCATAACTGAACCAAAACCAAAAAAAATGATATCATTATTTATCATACACACATCAAACAGCATAAACATGCACTTCATCCACCAAGACCTGATACAATCAATTATCATGGATACACCATTGCATATACACCAAATATGCACATAATAACAAACCGCATAATCGGAAAGTCAACACATTTTCAAAATAAAATCAAGTTACAGTTATTTTATTCATTTTATAAAATAGAGTATTTTAATTTAAGAAACAACGTCCAAAACGACGACTAAAATGGAATTACGGTTCGAAAGTTACAGATTTTTAAAGTTTAATATTTTCAAAAGGTTACAGCAGAACCCAGTTCCTACATATACAGGAACCGGTTCCTGCGAAGTTCACAAATCTCGTTTCTGGAAAATGTATGGGAACCCGGTTCCTACCTATACAGGAACTGGTTCCTACGTTGAAAAATGCCCAATTTTTGAAAATTTGAACTGGGAACCCGATTCCTACCTATACAGGAACCGATTCCTACGTGCATTTTTGCCAGTTTTT